ATATATATGTACGAGACTTCGAAACAAACGTTCGATCATGACTCGCGGACGAGAGCATGTGTTTCATTGACGCGTACTAGGAGTAGGAGTCATTCATGGTCAGACAATCGTAGGTAGAACGGGAAATTTATTTCGTATCGGGCGACGCAAAACTATATAATCGTGTGGAATATATATACACATATATACATAATCGATCCAATCATCTATTTCGCACCTTCCATTACTCTTTTTTTTCCTTCTTACTTTCCTTCCCCCCTTTATATACAATCTCTCTCTCTCTCACTCACTCTCTCGAAAAACCTTCACGCAATCAGCACAAACCTGCATAAAATATGTGTCATCAGAACCAATGATAAAACTTGTCAGACACGAGAGGCTAATTGTTATATGCTTTATCGTTATCTCTTTTTTTAATAATTCAATTTTTAAGTTAATTCTCCTAATGATTCTCTTAATACAGTCAAAAGAAAATTGGGTCTTATTTTAAGCCAACAAGGCAGTCTTAAATTTGCAACATTTTCAGGCCTCGGATATTATGACTTTTTTCCACTATTTTAAAAAAAATGCGTGTTTTTTCGACTTATTTTCAAAAATTGAGACTTTCGCTCTTTCTTCCAACACTGAAAAAAAAATTTATTTGATTCAATTAACTAACTATTTGACTTATCAATTAAATATTTACTTGAATCAAATAGCATTTATTGGAGTTAATTGAATGGTATTTGAACCAATAATTTCAGTATTTCACTGCAAAAATAAGTGTCTTATTTGATATATTAAAATAAGATGTAAGATGGAAAAATTGTATCTTACATCTTAAAATAAGATGTTTTCTAAAGTATCTTACTGATTTTTAAGATGTTTTATACGTCTTAGATATAATTTCTTCTATCTTAAAAAAGTAAGATACTTCTGTAAGTTTTTTAAAGTATCTTAAATTAAGATGTTTCTGTCTCAACAAGATGTTTAGCGATAAGATACTTGTGAATTGTAAGATGCGAAAAAAATTTAAGTTACTAAAAACTAAGATGCATAAAATGTCTTACATATAAGCCAATAGTTAACCTCAAAACTTTTTTCCCAAAAAATATGCTGAAAATATGTACGAAGATGCTTTTAGTATCTTAAATTAAGATATTTTAAATGACTAAAAAGTGACTACAATAACATCTTGGAAATGACTACCAAAACATCTTAAATAAGATACTTCTTTTTGCAGTGTTCAAGCAAATTTGTACTGAACCATTTAATTGTCTCTAATAAATATTATTTGATTGAAACCACATTTTTAGTATAAAATGCAATTTATTTTGATTTTTATAGTGTAAAAAGTATAAATAGACAAGTCTTGAAAAAATTATTTTTGAATGATTTTTCTAATTAAATTTTTAAAATATACAATTAAAAAATTTTTCAATAACTGAAATTTTGTAAAATTTAACTGAAAATAATTGATTTTTTCAAGTATTTTATTACCAGTTTTAAAAGAAAACTTTTGAGGAGTTTTAATTGCAAATTTTGAAAATAATTGAATTCTCAAAAATTTCAATGAAAAATCTTCAAGTGTAAATTAATGAAAATTACAGAAAATTAAGTTCTAAAAATTATATTAAAATATTTTTGAAAAGAGTAATTTTTTCCTTGTAATTTTTTAAAATTTAATTATTTTGAATAATTTCAATTTCAAAAGCAAATAATAAATATTGAAATATTTATTTAACAAAATTATTCAAGTTTTGAAAAATTGAATTTAGAAATCAGTGAATGGGGAAAATCAAATGCAGTAATTTTTACTACAGTCGACTAAAAATTTCAATAATTTAAACTTTGCTATTCATAATATTTCACATTTTGTTGCAATAATTAATTTTTAAATTATGTCAAAATTTTTTCCCTAGATTTAGAGTTGGAAAATAATTGAAACACATTTATTTTATAAGTTTCAAGAGTTTGGGAAAATTTTCGTTCACTAGTTAGATTAATTATCTTTTGTGATTTTGTAAAAAAAAAAAATTTTATCAGTGAAAAAAAAGTTGTTTGTAGTCAAGGAAAAAAATTAGTGATTCTGTACAACGTGGCGCGTTTTGAGTGTGTTGTAAAACGGTATAATCTCACAGCCACGAGCGAGTGCATCAGGTGTTTCGAGGTCAAACGTTTACCCAGGTGCGATTTTTTGGTCGGCCCATAGTTGGGCCAACTTTTACAAAGTCGGTCCAACTTCTCGTGCCAGAGGTTGGGCCAACCATACAGATGATAACGGCGACCGTCTAATGGCGACGATGGTTGGCCCGACAACTCATAAGGAAGTTGGCCCAACTTACAATGCATATGTTGTGCCAACTATACATTTCAATGGTTGGTCCAAAGACTGACGCCAAAGTTGGCACAACTTTAGATGCGTAAGTTGGGCCAACCACAATTTTCAAAGTTTGGCCAACTTCAACAGCCAAAGGTAAAAAATTATTAAAAAACTACATTATTTAAACAATTAACACGTTATTATTAGCGGGAACATCAGATATAACCTTTACCTATTATTATTAAACACAATCTCATACATACATTTTCGAAAATATCTAACGCTCGCTGGGATCGAACCCCTAACCTAACGCACCGAAGACTTATACACTGACCACTACGCTACGCTCACATGGGAGTGCATAACGCAAAATGTATATTTAAGCTGCAACAGTCGGGCCAACCGTGGCCCAGAGTTCGGCCAACCAAGAAAGTTTAAGTCATTTAAACCGCATTTGACAAAGTTTTGCCAACCGTTGGGCCAACCGTGGCCCAGAGTTCGGCCAACCAAGAAAAATCAAGTCAATTAAACTGCGTTTTACAAAGTTTTGCCCACCGTCGGGCCAACCGTGGCCCAAAGTTCGGCCGACCAAGAAAGTTTAAGTCAATGAAACTGCGTTTCTAGAGTTTTGCCCACCGTCGGGCCAACCGTGGCTCAAAGTTCGGCCAACCAAGAAAGTTTAAGTCATTTAAACCGCATTTGACAAAGTTTTGCCAACCGTTGGGCCAACCGTGGCCCAGAGTTCGGCCAACCAAGAAAGTTTAAGTCAATTAAACTGTGTTTCACATAGTTTTGCCAACCGTTGGGCCAACCGTGGCCCAGAGTTCGGCCAACCAAGAAAAATCAAGTCAATTAAACTGCGTTTCACAAAGTTTTGCCCACCGTCGGGCCAACCGTGGCCCAAAGTTCGGCCGACCAAGAAAGTTTAAGTCAATGAAACTGCGTTTCTTGAGTTTTGCCCACCGTCGGGCCAACCGTGGCTCAAAGTTCGGCCAACCAAGAAAGTTTAAGTCATTTAAACCGCATTTGACAAAGTTTTGCCAACCGTTGGGCCAACCGTGGCCCAGAGTTCGGCCAACCAAGAAAGTTTAAGTCAATTAAACTGTGTTTCACATAGTTTTGCCAACCGTCGGGCCAACCGTGGCCCAGAGTTCGGCCAACCGAAACTGAAAGTCTTTTAAACTACGTTTGGATAAGTTGTGCCAACCTTTGTCGCCAAAGTTGGCCCGACGGTTGGTTAAACTCTGCATTTAATGGTTGGCTTGCAAAGTCGGGCCAACTGTGGGCACAAGTACTTGCCAAAGTTGGGCAAACTCTGGCAACCAAAACTTTGCTTGCCAAAGTTAGGCCAACCTTGGGCCAACCTTCAAACTCTGGCGGCCAACCTAAATTCGCACCTGGGTAATACAAATTATATGTCTACACTAAAGTCTCTCCGCTAAATTGACATTGAAATTGACATCGATTGCGGCAAAAGTTATAACAGTTGAAAGTGACAAATATTTCAACATCGTTTTTATCGTCATTTTGATGCGATGAGTTTTGGAGGAAATAAAAAGTTGAGTAAGAGAAAGAAAAGTAGATTAGTTCGTTTAGATTTTGATATCGATTGTAAAATCGATATCGAAATCTAAACAAACTAGTAAAGAGAGAGGGAGTACATTTTTTTCGAGAGTAAAATTACAGTCTTTTTTTTCGAAAAAGAAGAATTTACACAAGAATTTGCTAAAGAAAAAATTGTGAGATGTAAATTTAGTAGCGCGATGATTTGATGACCTAATCAAACTTGTTTGTCACGTCTATATCGATCTACGTTCCAAAAATAAATTTCCGCGACTAATGCTCGTAATTAGATTCACAACTAAATAATTTTACGCAGTCTCTAATTGATTTGACACTGACAGTAAAGTTAATATCGAAATGTCGAAGGTTACAATGTTTTATGATTAATAATTATTTTTGCTGTTTCTAGGTAAACGCGATTAGCATTCCAACGCCTCGTTATATTTGATTATTAGACATTGTGTGCGGTGAATTTATATTTACATTTTTTTCTCGCGTATTTCTCGCGTCTTGTTTGTATTGGTGTGTCTTTATGACAAAACCGTTAGAATCAAAGAATCATTAACAATTCTCTATTCTTGTTTTATACGTTAGACGAGGTTATTTATTTATTTTGTTTTTTTTGCTCAGAAAACGAGAAAAAGAAAGCGTGTTAAAAAAATGTGAGTAAATATAAATTAGTAATGGACAATTAATTTTTATCAAAATATATTATCAGTGGCTTTTTTTTGAAAAAATGCTTCAATGCGAAATTGAATGTCGGTGGAAAAAATGTTTAAGGTCTCTTGCAATAATGCTCGAAGTGAAAAAAGAAGAGAAAAAAAAACAATTGAAGGTTGAATTTATGAAGACCAAATTAAGCATAAAAGTATATTGGCAAGATTTTACTGCGAGTAAAGTGATTTTTTATTTTACTGTTTTTACTTACTGATCTTTTCTTCTTTCGAAAAATATTTTTAAAAACATTTAAATGAATATATATTAAATCAGTCACGAATTCAAATTAGTAACCTCGTAATTCAAATTTGGAGTAATTGATATTATAATTCGTAATCCCTAATTCTTAATTACTAATTTTGTTTCGAGTGTATTATTAGGAACAACTAATTAATTGAATATAGGGAAAAAAATTTACCTAAAGCGGGCGCTTTTCTCTTTTTTTTCCTCGTCCACACTTCAAAGCAATCTTCTAAAGCAAGATTCCAATGCTTGTCAAATGCCACCACATAAGCCTCGATAAATCCTCGTATACCTTCTGCGTTCCTTGTGTAAACCTTTATAACATAGAAAGAAAAAATTCATTAATGATACACAATTAATTCGACTACAAAATTAAAAATTAATTAAGTGAAATTTTTTTCTTTTCGCTTCAAATTATCCAAATTGAAAGCATAGTGGTGGTTCATGGAATTTTGTACAGAATGTATATTGTATATAGAATATAATGGGGGGAAAGTATATTAAATAAATGTTTATGTATATATAATAGTTTGTCGTATATAAAGACAAGTTTGGTGCGACTTGAGAGACGCGAGCTTTCGCGTTTTCCGTGGAATGACAATAATTACATTAATTACTCGGTCGCTCTCGGGTCCCGTGAACAGGCGTTTGTTATTGTTGCTGCTGTTACGTATGCGCGAGACGAGATAGCAGAGTTATATGCGGAAGTGCAAGTCGCGAGGCAAGGCCCCCTTCAATGCCTTCCCACTGATATACACACACATTCGTAAAAATTACTTATTTCAAATACATTCATATATTTATAGAGTCACTTTATTATAATAATGTGTATATACAAGCAATCGTTAAAATTCTTTCTATCATTAGCCTTTTTTTTTACTATAATTATCAGCTTTACCATTGAGCACAATTCGTTATATATTTGAAAGTTAATGTGATCATTACAATCTTTATATGTGCAACATAAACAGTAGTTTTCGTTGTACAAAAATAATAGTTTTCGCTGGACGATAAGGATACTTTTCGCTGTACAAAAACGATACTTTAAGCTGTAGAAAAACAATACTTTAAGCAATTTTCGTTACACAAAAACAATAGTTCTTTTACACTATTGTTTTCTCTCTAAATCTGATTTGATGAATAATGAAGTAAGACGTGAGTACAAAGGGTAGAAATTGTCTATGAAGAAATGAGTATATTGAGAAGGTTGTTGGTGAATCAAAGATAGATTATTTATCATTAGAAACATATGTGCAGCATCCGGATTCCGAAAGTCGGTTGTATAGTTCGGAAAGAGTATTTTTATTAAGATGAATGGAAGGCTTTTTTTGTTTATTGTTAGCCAGGTCTCCCGATTTCAGTCAATTTTTAGAATTGGTGGGGAATTGGTCTAAACTGACGATTTTTGACGATAACGGTCGTTAGCATCATCAGAGGCTTAAAATAAGAGCTCTTCCATATCTTATCTTGATATGCTGCAAATAATACCCATACTCGCCAACAATTACTTTATTTTGCGGTTGTTCTTTTTTTGTTTTCTTTCTTTTTTATTTGTGAATATTTATAAAGAGGGGAATTGGGAATACAATGACCCTGCGAAGGATAGGAGTTGACAAAGGGCACGGCAAGGAGTATAAGTTTGAGTGTAGTTGAAAGGAAAGGTCCTCGACCTTGTCGTTGGGATATCATCAATTTTGGAAAAAGTAGCGTCGTTGGAACGCGTAATGGGTGTGTATATATATATATATATATTTATATCTGGATGTGCGAAGAGTTTGTTACCATGACTACGAGTGTTGACCCTATAATACACCTTTGAGGCGCGTCGAAGGGCTGACACGAGTCGACGAAAAGTATGTCACGCGCGTGTGCGTTCACGTGGGGTTGGTGGGTGGCGATGGACAATAAAGTGGGGCGAGTGGCATCAAGAGAACAACATCAACATTTGCGTGGGCTCCACACACTCCAAAGGTTAACTGCAAGAATTTTTTTCGACAATTTTTTGTTTGACTTTTTTTCGCGAAAAAATCGTTGTTGTACCGTTTCTCTATAAATTCTCTCTTTTCTATTTTATTTTTTTTATTGGCTAGGAGTTCTTATTCATTAATTCAGTTGTTTATTTAAGTATTTTTTTATAGTTATTTATTTAGTTAGCTTGTTATTACCACAGTTTTTCTAAGGATATCAAATTGTGACTATATTTTATTATAGTACTCAGGAAGGAATGTTTTGGGCCAAGACTTAATGTTAAACAGCAAATTTTTATCATTTTGCTTTTTTGTTTCAAATAAATTTGAATTTCGCGCCATTTTATCTTTAAGTTGCCGTCCAGATGGCATGAAAACTCTCTCACAATCGAGATGAAGTGGACGGAGAATAAGAGTCATAGATTACTATTCGTTTTAAATATATTGAAAATTACTATATTTTACGGTTATAATTTATTATGGGTACCGATTTATTATTATAATTATTATTATGAATTTAATTATAATTATTATAAATTATTCATACAATTATTGTAATATTAGTGAAAGTGAATATTTAGGCAATAGTCAATCTTGACAATTTTTCTTAAAAGAAATAATAATTTTCATACAATTGACTATTATTCTAAAGATAATTACCTTAACTTTGATTTTATTTTCCATATACACGTACAGTTCTCCAAGTGGGCCATAAGCCTTTTTCATTTTTGTCAGAATATTTCTCCCGCCTATAAATCTTTCTCTCGATCTCGAACTGCCCTGAATCATTCCTGAAAAAGAAATTTTAAATGTATTTCAGTGGACAATTTAATTAAAAATTTATAAATATCGTTTATTAATAGATAAAATTACCGAAAATTACTTAAAATAAAAAATTTTGCTTGCAGTATTTTTAACAATATTATATTTACATTTAACATTGTAACATATATTTAACATTACAGTTTGTAATTTATTTATTTAATTTATCATTCATCTCGTGCTTGATAGATTCGTGTTGTATTTATATAGAGTGAATTTTATTATATTAGTGTTTAAAGATCAATATTATAGAAGTTCAATAAATATGTTGAATGATTATGCGGCAGATATCGATCTGACAATTAACGACTATCTACGGTTCGAGTTTGATTTTTTACGGCCGCAATCACCTTAGTAATAAGAATTTATATCGTTATTTCTCATTTATTGAGAGTAATGCCGACGAATCATCATTTACTCGTCATTAATTTTCCCTTTTTACTTATTTTCCATTTTAAATGTCTGTTGGGAATTTGTAAAATTCCCCATAATTGCAAATTTTTTAATAAAAATTCACATTTAAAATTAATAAATTTTTTAACAGTTTACTATTTATTAGTGTCTTTATAAGTTGGAAAAAATTGGTTCACTTCAGGGTTATAAAAATTGTATTAACTGATAACAATTAATTTGTATTATTAATTGTTCTTATAATTGTTAAATGTTATAATGTTTCATTGACATGTAAATATATTTAATAAAAATATTGTTTACTAATAATTTTTATTTTTTCTGTTACAGGTGAGTCTGCAAACTTTGCAAATTTTTCTTCTCTTCACGTAAGTTTACAACAAAATTTTTTTCCAATTTAAAATTGGCGTGATTTTTATGAAAGGTTATAATTAGAGTTTACTTTTCCGGATATACGAATTAACCGCAGAAATTTCATTAAACAGTAGATTTAGATTTAGATTCTACTTCAAGTCGTTTTAACTTTCAGTAAAATTTACTTTACACGGTATCAAAATTGTTGCGGATCAAAATTTTGATAAGTTTTTTGTCCTTAGAAAAAATATGCTAGGATGATAGTGAAAGTACACTCCAGATCCTATGGTGGATAGATGGCAAAAGAAAGAAAAGTGAAAAAATAGAAGGCCTCGAATTGCAAAATAGAAGGTGACGGTTATAATCCAAGCCTTAAGGTATGGATGAAAGTTATCGGAGAAAGCCAATTGGCACTGTCGATCTTAAGTACGACGATCCTTCCTTTTGCGCACTAATACAATCAAAGTGTTTCCCCCTTCTCTCTCTCTCTCTAGTTGCTATTCCCCACCCCACCCCCTTTCCCTTGTGTATAATTATACAATGTGCAATTGGAAGATGAAATTGTTGGTGTGCGTGGATAGCATGTTTCTTCTTTTGCTTCTTGTTTGAAATTGTGTGCGTGCTCGTTACTTGGTTATAGACTATGTGTTCTGCACCGTATAACGCCAAGACTTTACGTAACTCGACAGCGCTTCTCTTCAGATGCAGGGACGCAACCTAACTATAGCGCCGTCTAATCGCTTTTTTCCATCATCATCATCATCATCATCATCATTATTAGTGAAACATCTTCACGTCTTTTTCACACGGAAACACGTACTTTATTAGTTTTCATTAAAATACTCTCGGTTTTTTTATTCATGGAAAGTATAATAGAAAGAGTAGACTCGAATTTGCGTACTTTTTTTTATTTTACTTTCATGTTGGGAATTTTGCCATTTGAAAACGATAGTTGAATATTAACAGCAACATTATTAATACAAACAATTATATTAAAAATAATAATATTAATAATATATGTTAATTATAATATTATTATTCAGTCTTTCTAAATTATTTTTGGTGTAACAAAGACTTAAACATCAGTGGTTTATATTGAGCGTTGATTCCCTTTATATATTTTACTTCTAAAAATAATAAACATAACCTAAAATTTGTTACTTCTTTCTTTCTCCGCAGCGGGTCACAATTGTTCTATTGAAATTAAAATTAATTAATTATTTACAATATTTGAAACCTTTTTTCTATTAACCTCCCTACGGTTAACCCCGAGTATCCTCGGGGTGTATCTTTCATTTATTTATTTAAAAAAATTAAATTCGAGAGTCATATAAATAAAACTTTTAATGTAACTTGAAGCTGAATAGTTGTATTTAATATCAAAATAAATATGAAATAATCAAAATTAATTTTAACAAAATTATAAATTTATTTCCTGCAAACTTGAAAAATGATAAAACCGTAGGAGGGTTAAAGAAACAAATTGAAAAAATAAAAATCGAAGACAAATCAGTAAGTAAATTTCTATTGAAATTAAAATAGTCGACCTACGAATAACGTGATAGTAGTTTATGGCTGTAATGATAAAAATTTAGATGCTTTTTACTTTCTTCGGGTAAATTATCTTAGAACGCTTTCTTAGCAAGATGGTACACTTCGACTTTCTGTTGGGTGTTCAATCCCCAGCGCTTAAAAGTAAACAAAAAACTTTTGGATTTTAAGTAAAAGGAGAAGAACTGTAACTTTAAAATGACCAAAGTGTTGGTAAAAAAAAATTGGCAATTTTGTGTACAGATGGAAAAAGTGATGTTTCTCCTTCGCATATTTTGTTGCATTTTAAACCATTCGAAGAGAGGAGAGGCCGTCATGTTTACGATCGAGCTTTTCAAGAGCGCGCACATTCTCTCCACTTGGAGGAGAAATTTAAAAGTTAGAAGTTAGAAAATGGAGAAGGTAGGAGTTAGAAGGATAGTTATCGTGCAGAGCGATCTTTGACTCGAGGGCCTCATCGTCTTCTCGTCCACAGTCGGTATATATATATATATATTTCTCTACACCTTGTCTCTAGATTTTCACCTTTTTTCTTCCTCTTATTTTTTTCGAATTATCCTACCAGCCTCGACACGATAACACCGCCTCGCGAACATTTACGTGCGTGGTATAAAAGAAACCGTTAGGTTTGCACTTTGCTCGTATAAGGAGGCAGAGGTGGAGAGACAAAGAGAGCAAGAGAATAGAGAATGGTGCTGTTACACTCTCAAATATGTGTGTATATGCATCTCTTGTCCTCGATTTTTAATTTCAATTCTGACTTTATTAAAAAAAATTTCTTCCGAAAAATTCTTATTCTTGTAATATTTATTTTTATTTTTCATAATTGTTTACATTTCACTTTTTCTTTTTCATGAAACTGTTATTATTTTACTTAAAGATACATGACCGAACGGTCATGCGGACTTTTAGTAAAATAATGACAGTGGTTAATTTTCAGTTGGTCTCTAATTACTTGGAACATTTTCCAAGTCCCACCGTTTTCATTTTGTCACAGTCACTTTCTTTTCGGTAAGAGCAAAGAAAATCAAGAGTAAACTCGCCATAGTGTTCGAATGAAAGTCAACAAGCCTGGATAATGATGATTTTTTTTCAAATCTGTTTATTGTATAAAAAAAAATTCAGTAAGAATTGAGACCCAAAAAATTTGTTTTGGGTCCGAATTCGGCTTACAAACAAATCTTAATTTATTGACAAATTCGAAAGTAAAAAATGATTCTTGAAACCTTTTGCCCTAAAGTAAGTCTTATTTACTGATTTTTAAACAATGAAAAAGTCAATCAATCGTTTGGAATTTTAGGGACAATTGCACTTTTCATTTTTTGGGCTTTAATTGTTTACATTGTTTACATTATTTACAAACTTTGTTTCTATTCTACAAGTCATTTGTTTAATGTTAAAAAAATAAAAATTAAAAAAAAGACTACAAGTCAGTAAAACAATAGAAATAAACGAATTGAAAGCGAAAAATTTGCTTTCATTTTTCGGATGAAATTAAGAAAAAAAAATTGTTTTTTGGAAAAAATGTCGGAGGAAAATGGGGGAGATTAAAAAGGGGCAAGAGGGGCAATACCCGTGGATGATCCCCAGGTTGAGTGGCGCTGGGTTCAACGTCCTGCCGGGCAGCGCACCCGAGCCAGGCAGGCAAGCAGCCACCAGACTTCTGCACATATACCTTGCTCTCTCTCTCTCTCTCGCTCTCTCATTGCAAACATACACATATACATTTACTTTACACGAACTAGCCATAGGTACTGTTACTTTTGCGATGTGGGCCCTTTGGCCCCCCTGTGTCCCGCCTTTCCTTATTGTCCCAACAACGTGCACAGCAAAGAAGGTGGACTATGAAGAGAAGCACACAAGAAGTTCCACCGACCTCAGAAATCGTCCACTCTCCTCAAGTATTTGCATTTTAAAATCATCCCCCTTTTTGGGGCCTTTTTCGGCCGGGTTAATTTTCTCTTTTCATTCTTTTAAATCTCTGATGAATTTTGATTTATTTCTGTAAACTATTTTAAGTATTTACGCGAAGGGGGTTATAATGAAAGATAGTAGTTTTAATCAAATTGAGACAGAAAGCGAATCATTTTGATTCGCCTTTTGTCTCAATTTGATATCCTTAGAAAAGCTGTAAATCAGTAGTTTTGATTTCTGGTAATTACAAACAGTAACTTCAATCCGCATTACTTGAAGTAATTGTAGCTTGAAAATTATGATAATTACGTAGTAATAGAAAGTTTATCACCGACGGTAGTTATACGAGCGTCTGGTTAGAATTTATCAGAAAAAAAAAATTAACAACAAATGGTAGTTGAGAATTTATAAGTTGACAAGTAGTACAAACAAGTGTTACAGGAATTGACAGTTTAAAAGATAAAGTGTAGTGAAATTGCAAATTGAAATGAAATATTATATATACGCAAGTTTACATAAAATTTAACCTCGGTTTACGAGATCTCACGAGAGTTTTTCATAAATGGATTAATTTTCAAAAAATCGATTTTTACTTATTGTGCAAAATTCATCCATATTAATTGCGTCCTGAGAAAGAGAAATCAACTCATGTGTCTCTTTGTAGAAAAACAGCGAAATAAGTTATTTATGAATTAGATACTGCGCGACAGACAGAGAGCACCTCGTTATTAACTATATA